TTTATTTCTCGCCTAATTTATTGCGTGATTACCATCTACGTTCTTCAATGATTTAAACGCAACATCAATCGCTATTTTCTGTCTTCCTGAATTCTATCTTTTTATTGTCCTTTCTCTTCACTAAAGTCTTCTCATTCTCTTTCACTGCCAGTAACCATTTGCGTCTTAGTGGCATTATCGCCTTGCTTGGGTTAAAATGACTAAAAGTATTTGTCGTTCCCTAACAAATAATTACTTACACGTTGGACGACTTGCAGTGTAGCGATAATATTTAATAAGCTAGTTTTGTGCACAGCTTTTATTACAGGGAATTTGATCCTCATTGGGTGCTCTACATTTATAACCTTATGCCATACCAAGCTAAATTTAGATAGAATCATAGTTTAAAAAGTAGAATGCCCCCACTAAAAATCTATATGTATTTTATAAGCCTATACATTTAAATTTTGGCTTTCGAAGGTGTAAGTTGGAACCTGATAAAATTTTAGGAAGAATTATTGCCGTGAGCATGAGTTTATTATGTGCAATTTAAAAATCAGGAATTTGTTACAGACTGATAATTTGGTAGAAAAGAGGGAAGAGACATCGGCTATTCTTGTTTGATGAATGAATGCGATCAGCATAGATTTTGGATATAACAGGAACTAGCATTTAATTTACATAAATTACAATAAGAGAATCAACTTAAGATGGATAATACTGGAATATTTCAAAGGCTTCGTTTCAGGTTAGTGGTGTGGGTATGCGTACATATTTGCATAGAATGGGAACTGAATTGAAAAGGTAAGCTAAATATCAATTTCTTCGGCAACGAAACGCAAAAGAAAGCTAAACTAGTCACTGAAGGCAGTTTGTTATTCAATGAGTTTAACGAAGAAAAAACGCAAAGAAGGAAAATAGTTTTGTGCGGAAGATGTCCTATTTGCATGAACATGGCGGCTGCATCTTATACTGGCTAGACAGGAAATACTTTTTGATTGGATGAAAAATTATAATCTGATTAGATTAAATTTCGAATGTAGCTTAAAGCAGTAAAATGCTTTAACCAATGTTCAGATTAAAAGAAAAGTTTAGATAATCAAGTTGCTACACGGATGAAAAAAAGACGTTACTTCATAAACCTACAAACGATATAAGGGAAATTGTGGAGGAAAGAATTTTAGAGAGAACCACTGAGACAAATTACAAATTCGTGTTTTTGAGATTAATTGGAAATTGTGAATTTTATTTTTTACTGGTGGTTACGAAATACAAGTCGCATCAACCAGTGAAATTAGACGGTTACCAAGTGAGATTTTTGTAAAGGCGGAAACAGTGGGGAGGAAGATGTGCAGATTATGATGATTGGACTTAGACTAGAAGAGGTTACTATTGAAGTGGTCAGAGAAGCATCCCCTTCAGAGTCTGTTCCACAAAGTAACAGAACAATGTACCAACAGAAAGAATAAGTAGAACCGTAGACATTTAAAGGCAATACAGGTGGCTGCAAAAGTAGGTATACAGTACGTATTATGCCATCTTAGGATTCATTTAACGCTAGAATTCATTCAATTCATTAGAATTTTTTTATCTTCATAATTTTTATTATAATAAATTTATTATAATTTTTATTACTATCTGATCAATACATTTTGTTTTTCATTACTGTATACCTACTTTTGCACCACTTTTGTTTTATTAGGTAACCCATATATATATGTGTGTGTGTGTGTGTGCGCGCGTGTGTGTATGTATGTATGTGTGCATATATATATATATATATATATATATCAATGGGTATGACGATAAACTACATCCGTCAGCAGAATCTATTATCGGGAGACTGAAAGTTTAGAGGAGCGTTGAACCACCTCTTAATTGCTGTTGTCCCCATGTACATCCTGATCCGGGGTGGTAGCATCTATTAGGGTCTCAGCTATGAACAAATAGTGAACCCCAAACAGGGGTTAAAACATTAGGAAAGTATAAAAATAGATTTTTACTGTAAAAATATCAGCAATACATTTTTATATAAAAAATTACCAAAAATACGTATTTATAGTAGAATTACCAAGACTACATTTTATAGTAGAATTACCAAGACTACATTTTATAGTAGAATTACCAAGAATACATTTTATAGCAAAATGGCCAACGATTCATTTGATGGTGAATGTATACAACTGCATTCAAAATATATTTAGCTGTTGTCCTAAAAATGTAACCAAAGTATTTAGATTTCGGCATTAAATAACCCATAGAGATTGATAGTGATTTTCCAAACGTAGCTTGGATGTGGCACAAGGCCGAAATTAAGGGGTACCCAGTGAGGATCGAACTCACTACTCATTCGTAATAGTTCCAGCGAAACAAGCTTGCTAAGCATTATACCACCTCGAGGTGCCCACCCATAGAGATTGATATGCCGTTAAACAAAATCAACTAATCAACCACATATATATGTGTGCGATGGGTAAATTATCGCTATTTTATATCTGTTTTAATTTCGCGCATGCGTGTTGTTTGTTTTTGATTTTTTTCGACTGCACAGAATAGTAGGGTCAGTTCAGAACCGTTTGTGATAAAAAAAATCAACATGACGCAATTCACTTCGACAGACATTTGGAAATGTCATGCGATCTGAGGTCAGTGTAAAGGATTTGAAAAGCGTTGAATTGTGTGAAATTTAACACCCCCACCCCCAAAAGCTGTGTCGTGGCTTGAGGAACAAAGTGGGATAATTGTAAATCATACTTTATGCAAGAAACACAATATATAACGAGAAAGGGTATAAGTATTGCTAAAAAGCGTATTCTTTTAGTGGTTAAAAGTCAAGCCGTCGGGAACGAAATCCAAATACATATCTGTTTGAAATAGATCATTCACTTATTTGAATAGTGTGCATACTCTGCTTATATAAGCTGCTTTTCATCTCATTAATCAGGTCTATTTGTGGCCAGCATGTCTGTTTCTTTAGAGGGATGGAAACACGTCTCTTCGCTTCGTATTCTCGAAAATCCTATTCCGCGCCTAATATTTGGCTATGCCCATTATAAGTTTATAATAGATATTTCTTATTATCGGCAGGAAACATCTACCAACGGAAGATGGCCTATATATTTTTATAGGATGAGTCTACTGGTGATTACGAAGATACGGCAGCTCGTAAAACTTACTATGATCGTTCTGGTAAGAAAAGAACTCTTCAGTTTATTGGTGAGGGCTTTAGACTCAACACAGAGGCCTACATCAAGAGCCTTGAGGAGGTAGTGCCGTCCTGGGTCAAGAGGGTGGCTGCTGGAAGACCATATATCTGGCAACTAGACTCTGCGTCATGCCACAGAAGCTGGAGGACCCAATCATGTCTGTCAGACAATTTATGCGACCACATCACATCTCAGATCTAGCTACCGAACTCCCCAGTCTGCAGCCTCCTTGATTACTATGTGTGGGGCGCAGTTGAGTGAGAAAGCAACAAAACTCCTTGTAACACAAAAGATGTATCGAAGGCAAAGAACATAGCGGCAGGAGATTCTGAAGTTGTCTGGAGGCCATGGTTGAAGTCAATGGCGATTTTATTGAATAAATTTACTCTATAGTATTTCAAGTTATTTTTGCGTAATTTTGATAAATATATCTGTTAAAATGAGATGTCAGTATTATTTTCATTTTGCGCAATTTAGACAACAATTTATTCATCTCACCCAGTCTGTGTATATATATATATATATATATGTGTGTGTGTGTGTGTGTGTATGTATATATATATATATGTGTGTGTGTGTATATATATATATATATATATATATATATATATATATGTGTGTGTGTGTGTGTGAAAGTGTATATAAATAAATAAATATATATATGTATAATTATTTATATATTATATGCATGGTATTTATTAAGCGCTCAATATCAGAGATAGAGCTAACATATTTGGTTGGATAGATGTGAGTTTGTGACCCTGGGTTTCACGCTTAGCGATCGTCAGACAAACCCAGCGTGAAACCAGGGTCACAAACTCACATCTATCAACTATATATATATATATATAAATATATATAACAATAATAGGATAAAAAATAAATAGTAATGTTAGATAAATGTTTCCTATTTGTTCTTTATTCTATTATATAAAGAATTTGTTTCGCCAAAAGAATAAGCTTATTTTTTTAAGGAAAATTTTAAGCCAGTGAGAAATGATTGTAATTATAATGTTCAATATCGTGCCATAGAGCATTATTAGTAATAAGGAAACCTGCGGGATGTTGGCAGACAAAAAGGAGTCATCTGTATTTCTTCTGACGTCACATCCCGTAACTTTTCTAAAGCAGAACTTCCATCGTTTTATAAAAAAAAAAAAAAAATCACGAATGTTTTTTTTCTATGTTGCATCGTATTTTCTCATTAGAATAAAGTTTGGTATGTGTTTGGAATATTCTTATGTTTCTTTCTAAGACTTATCTGTAAAGTTCGCTAACATAAATCATTATAAATATATCTGTTTTAGCTGAAAACTTGCTCTGTCCAGACGTATTATATGCTCCCTATATCTGTTGTAGTTTCGGTGTAAAGAAACAGGAGCCATTTCTTTTGCTACATTACATTTAAAAACCTAAAACTTGTACACAATCATAAACACACACACACACACATATATGTGTGTGTGTGTATGTGCGCGCCTATGTGTGTATGAACATATGTACAGAGACTCTTCTTTCACTAGGGATATGACACTGCTATTGTTATATAGAACAACGTAGATAAGTCAAATGTCTGCAGTAAGTACTAACTTCAAAGAAAATTGGTGCCTCTTCGTTGATAGCTTATTATATTACTGATAAGGATAACGACTATTAAGCTATTCATGTCCCGTTGTCTGATTTGGCCGATGTTAACCCCATTACTGGGCTTCATTTACTTTCAACATATGGCATTAACACTTGCACTTGCGAGAATAATAAATGAAACGTGTTCTCAGTTAAATACACATTTTTTTTTTAAAAAAAAAAGAAGTAATGTCTACAAATCAAGCTGAAAAGTACAAGATATCTGTTTGTGTAAAGTTCAAGTTGGCGGTCGATTTCTTTGATACTCAAGAACGTGGTTATCATTCTTACCTGTTTTTCATTGGCTTGGGAAATTTCTCTCAGCTGCATCTTTTCTATTTATGTTCTCCTCTTTTCTCAATATTTTTTGTTGTTTCTTCCAACCTTTTCTCAATATTTTTACTTTTAATTTTTTTGGCAGTATTTTTTGGTTCTCTTTCTTTTTTTCACTATTTTGTTTTTGTTTTTTTGTATTTCACGTTTTTTTTTCGTTCGTTTCTTTTTCTATTTTTGTGTTTTCCCCCTCTTTCCTTTCCTCTATATCTTTTTTTATATCCTCTTTTTTCTTTTCCTCGCGATTTTTGTTTCCGCTCTTTTAGTTTTCTTACTCTTTTTTCTCTTTTTCTTTTTCTCAATTTCTTTTTTTATTTTAACGCATACATTTTTTTTCCGTATATTTGTAATCACTCGATTTTTTCTTAGTATTTCGTTCTCGTTTTATTTATTTATTTTTTTTTGTTTGTTTACTCTCTTTCTTTTTTGACTTACGCTTTTATTCTTTCGTTCTTTTATCGCTTTGGTTTTCAGTTTTTTCTTTTTGACTTCCTTTTGTTTTTTGTTTTTTTTACTTTCCTTTCTTTTATTTTGCTTCTTTTATGTTATTTTCTTTGTATGTATTTATTTTATTATCGACATGTTTTTCTCTTTTGATTTCCAGTATTTACTTATCTTGTTTTCTTTTATTTCTTATTCTATTATTTTATAGATTCTTTTAGTTTTCTTTCCTTTTTCTGATCACTTTTTCTCTTATTTAACTTCTGTTTTTTCGGATTTATTAAAAATTTCTTTTTTATTTTTGGACTTATACATATTTCATTATTTTTCAACTCATTTTATGGACGAATAAAGGCAAAACGTAGCTGACACCCAACGAAGCAACATTTCAAATAATTATAGGGCTATTACATGCCGTTTTCTGACGTGAGCAATTTTAAAAGAAATTACAGTAAAACCTGGAGAGGACATTATTCGTGAGAAAGCAGCAGACGTCCACTCGGGGAGGAAAGAGGACAAAAAAGGAAATCGAGGAAATAATATTTTTTTTAAAAGTATTATTCAACAAATACAAGGCTTAAGAGTCACCCAATGTAGTGGGTTACTAAACGTGTGAGTCAAATTCGCTTTTAAATTACATTATATGACGACATATATAACTTAATTTTATCACAATACTATTTCGACCGTTTCATAAGGAATGGTAAATACATGTCAAATCGTACATTGAAGGTCGTTCTCAACGGATTCTCCTCCAGCTCCTATCCCACAAACGCAGGTGTTCCCCAAGGTTCTATCCTAGGCCCTACTCTGTTCCTCATTTTCATTAACGATCTTCCTGATGTCATAGGTTCCCAAGTAGGCATCTATGCAGACGACACTACTATTTACTCCTGCCCCCAAAACAAATCTAGTGTCGCCGACAAATCTAACCTGGCCATTTGTTTCTAAAAGGACCTCCAATCGGTTGTCGACTGGGACAGGAATTGGCTGGTTAACTTTAATGCCTCAAAAACAAAACTGCTGTCTAATACTCAACACAGAGAACCACCCCTGCCTCCCATTAGAATGTATGACGTTCAACTCCACGAGAGCACCTCTTTGCGACTGTTCAGTCTCACATTGTCCGCTGACTTGAAATGGAACGAATACATTGAGTCAATAGCTTCGTCCACCGCAAGGAAAGTCAGCTTCCTGTGTCGCACCATGAAATTTTTCTCGCCGGAGTCAATTTTTCGAATCTACAAATCAACTATTCACCCTTGCATGGACTATTACTGCCATATATGGTCTGGAGCCACTTCTGTTTGCCTCAAGGTCCTTGATAAAATCCAAAGACGGGTATGCACTGTAATTGGCCCTGATCTGGCATCTCGTCTGCAGCTGCTCTCTCACAGACGTGCCGTTGCCTCCCTCTGTGTTTTTTTACAAATACTTTCACGGTAACTGCTCCGATGAGCTGCTTTACCTGGTTCGCAAACTTCAGGAATTTAAGCGTTCAACTCCGTTGACATCTCGCTCTCACCCTTTCACTGCCGAAACCGTTAAATGTAGTCGTTTCTTCTACTCCATTAATTCGTAACCATGCAATGATATGAGGTATCATAATCCGATATGATATGAGGTATCATAATCATATAAGGTATCATAATCCGTAGATTTGTCTGCAGAATATCATTACATTATTGTTACATAATTATAGTGAAATCATTAAGGTTTTTTGTCAAAAGCATTTTATTTTTGGTCGTATATTGACTTAAACTATTCTCTTTTGCAGGCTTTATTTTTGAAATGGAATAAGATCATTCTAAATTTCAGAATTTTGCTATTGCTCATCAAAATGACTGGAAGAAAGCGATTTAAAACAACAATAGAAAAGAGAGGTAACAAAGTGTAAACGAAATAACTCCAATTTGTTCAACTTGGGAAACTTAACATTGCAGACAAAATATTCTAAAATGCTGCCAAAAACAAAAGAGAAAAATAAAAAAATACCTAACAACAAATCGAATATAGCATCAAAATCTATATTATTTTTATTTATTTGTTATGTAACTAAATCGTAATTGTCAACAATGCTTCCGGAAAACTTGATATTTCATGTAATAAATTCTTAATAAATATTATTAGTGTTATTATTTAAATGTAAGGTAGTCTTACATTGACAATTCCTTATGGCTAATCATGAAAAGAAATTGATCAAAACTGCGTAAAACCTTTTAGCACGTATTGCAATAAAATTATCAAATGTTGAATACGTCCCTTCTCCACCAAATGCGTCACATATATAAATATATATATATTACACAGGGTGTATCAAAAATAATTCTACAAATTTTGGGGAGGGGGTTCCTCACAGCAAAACAAGGACAAAAGCCCATATAAACTTATTTCCGCAAATCCTTCGTTTTTGAGTTAAGTTTAAAGAAAATTTACGGTAGTGCGTTGCCATATAGACTAGTTTGCATATGTCATTCGTGTACACTTGTGGCTAATCTGTCTTCAACCTTTAACGTGTGAAGTAGTGAGTTAACTGAGAAGTGTTCAGTTTAACCATGACAGGATTTTCATATCGTAAGCAGGCAGATATGATTTTTACATACGAAACGCGCCAATGGTAATGAGTGCATGGCGGCACGGCTGCATCATTGCATTTCCAGACCGAAAGCACTCGATTCATCCAACCTTTACTTATGTTTATCGAAGTTTTGCTGAAGTTTTTCCGTGGCACTACAAATTATGCATTAAGGAAGATTGAGATCCGCTCGTACGCCGGAACACAAAGAAATCATTTTGCAGGCTGTCGGAGACAATCCAGATATCAGTGCACACCAAGTGGCCCTAGCTTGTCGTTCATCACATATTACTACATGGAGGGTAATTCAAGAGAAGCTTCTGCATTCGCATCATTTGCAACGTGTGCAGCATCTTTCGTCCTCTGATCACTTACCAGGGAAGAACATTACCAATGTTTCATTGCACAAACAGCTGTTGCGTTGTTTGTCTCTTCAGTTTTGTTTACGGATAAGTCAACATTTGGAAGAGGTGGAAGAACAAATATGCACAACCAACATTAGTGGATGGATTGGAATCCCCATAGTACAATCCAGGCTATACACCAGCATCAGTTTACAATTAATGTGTGGGCTGGAATTGTAGGGGAATCTCTGGTAGGTCCATATGTTCTCCAGTCACGTCTTACAGGGACTTTATTTCGAACATATTTCCAGGCCTGCTAGAGGATGTACGCCTGCTAATACAAAAACTCATGTGTTTCATGCATGATGAGGTTCCAGCACATTTTAGTCACATTTTTGTTCGCGATGCATTGGTTGACATCTACCATTAAAGATGGATAGACAGAAGGACCGATTCCATTGCCTCGCGACCTAAATCCTTTAGATATTTATCTGTAGGGCCACATAAAATAATTGCTTTATGCAGAGACGCTTCATCAACGTATCATGCGGCGTCTGCGAAACCATTCGACTCTGTGTGGAAGTATTTGAAAGGGTTCGCCAGTCAATGATCCGATGGGTGCATGCGTGTGTAGAAGCGAGGAGAAGACATTTTAAATATTTGTTATGTGTTGCTGTGTTCAGGTACAACGATGGCCTTTGGGACATATGTTTATATGGATATTTTACCTTGTTTTGATATATGGAACCCGTCACTAAAATCTGTAAAAGTATTTTTGGATTGAATCTTGGATTGTATATTTAACTGCGTGTACAGTAAACTTTAAACATAATAACTCAAAAACAAAGGATTTGCGGACATATGTTTATGTGGACTTTTGTCCTTGTTTTGGTGGGAGGAACCCGCACCTAAATTTTGTAAAAGTATTTTTATATATATATATATATATATATATATATATATGAAAAATGGAAAACTGTTTAATTGAAATTAGATTTCATTGAATCTAGATTACACGTTTAGTACTTGCGAGGCTTCATCAGATCAAAACGAAAGAGATGAAGAAATATGTGCGTTTTACACACACAAAAAATGCATATATCTATATATATATATATATATATCTTACATCTCAATATCAAAATGATTATCAGAAAAAAAGTGATCATTTATAAATTATATAAATACTCAACATGTACAACAGAGCAATCTTAATTTTAAAGTCTCTATTTTAAATATAGAGCACTCTTATAAAAATAATATATAAATCACACAAACACACACATATATATATGGGGAGGGATAAAGACCGAGGAAATAGGAATTAGCACCTTATGGTTAGTGTCAATTTTACGCTTCTATGTGATCCTTAGTCATACTTGTGTGACTTGGTTTGAACGAGGTTGAAACAGACACTCACCACGCAGTTCGAACTGTATATAGCAATAAAAGTTTTATCTATGATATTGAACAACCTCCCACTATATATATATATATATATATATATATATATATATATCTCAGCGTGTTCCAGTAACTTGTACCGATTTTCAATGTGAATTAATTTGAAGCGTTTAATGATTTTTTTCTTTTTCAGATTTGGCGGACATTTGGGCGATATTATTTCTCACACATAATTGCCATGACTTAAATAACATGATCCAATAGAGAAATAAATAAATTTTCACCAATAACACAGATTTATTTACTGCTGACTTTGATTCATCTTAATGAATCATTTTTATATATATATCTTAATTTCTGCCTTGTGCCTCAACTACTCTATGATTAGTATATATATATATATATATATATATATATATATATAATAAAAGATGAATAGAGTTGAATTGTACAAGGAAACATTAAAAATGATCTATAAACGTTTGAAAAAGGTAGCAAAATCAACTGACCTCCTAACTTTTAATATATATATATATATATATATATATATATATATATATGTGTGTGTGTGTGTGTAGAGAGAGAGAGAGAGAATTAGATAGATA